TATAAAAACAAAAGAAGAATTAGAAAATGAAGGACATGAAATGCATTGGTTCCTATACCAATAAATGAATTGTAACACAGAAGGATTTGCAGTAAACCTAACCAAATTGGAGAAGATACTGCTTAAAAAAAAAAAGCTTATTTATAAATTATATAAAGAATTACTTAAAAGGGAAACGGAAAGTGAATTAGTTTAAGGATTGCATGATTAAATGGGCTCAAGAATTTGGAGAAAATATACAGTTAAAGGAGTGGGAGAAGAACTGGCAAAAAAGAATAAAATACACCTTGTCATCAGATTTAAAAGAGAATTATTACAAGATCCAATTTAGATGGTACTTGACCCCTAAAAAACTAAGCACAATTTATAAAAACACCAAAGACAGATGTTGGGAGTGTAAGAAAGAAAAAGGAACCATGCTTCACATGTGGTGGATTTGCAAAAAAGCAAGAAAAATACTGGACAATGATTTACAATGTTATAACAGAGATTTTACAAATTAAATTGAAAAAGGATCCTAAAGTTTTTATTCTAGGCATGATAGAAGAAAAACATGAAAATGAATTTGGGGAAATATTACATTTCATGATTTCAGCTGCTAGGATACGATATGCCAAAAAATGGAAAGAGACTGAGATTCCAGATATAACAGAATGGGAAATGAAAATCTACGACTGCATGGAAAATAACAAATTAACATTACTACTTAAGGAGGCTCCAAAAGAAAGATTTGACAAGGATCAGGGCTGGATGTACGAATATCTGAACTCTCAATAATAGAGATGCATTTATTCAAAAATTTATTGAGATTAACAATACAATATACAGAAAATATTTGCCCCATGTTATTAAAGGTTATGACACATATGTGACATGTTTTGCGCTAACTTCAATTAAATTTTGAAATTATCAGTCAATACAGATATAGTCAGAAACATGCTTTAACAGCCATGGTTCTGTGCAATGGAATCCTGGGAAGTGTACGCTCTGGTGCCACAACAAGCTACACTTCATAGAATTCCATTGCACGGAAACATGGCCATTAAAGCGGTGTCAAACCAGATTATTGCAACACCTTCACTGGCTGTCAATATATCTCTGGGGAAAATTCAAAGTGCTGGTCATGACCATTGAAGCCCTGTCTTTATAGATCTATGAAAAGCTATCTGAAAGACCTTATCTCCCCATGCAACCCAGCTGAAGTTTTGGGATCCTTGGTCTTTCTTTCATTCCAGCACCTTCACATACACATTTGGTGAGGGCACAGGACAGGGCCTTTGTGGTGGCTTCTCCCAAGCTTTGGCATTTCCTCTCAAAGGGAACAAAGGTAGTCCCCCCCACTCCTGCTCTCCTTCCAGCAGCAAAGGTCTTTTATATAGACAGGATTTTGGTCATTAACTGGTTGTGGCAAAATGATTTTTAACGGGGAATATTGTACTTCCCCTCCCCACCCCCGATATGCCTTAGAAACTGTTGTCAGTTCAGTGCTGGCTTTAGTATGCTATCTAATCATTTTAAATGTTTGTTATTACGATGATTTATTCTAGTTAAATTCTGTTCCAGTCTATGTTCTAGGTTTCATTGGGGTCTTCACTGAGAGAAAGGCAATATATAGATATATATAAATATATAATAAATTCAGTAAACCAGGTAAGCAAATCAAAATGTTTGTCCGGTACAATGCTTACTTCAGTGACAATGATGAATTGAAAAGCACCTTCAAGCTGCCAGATTGCTATCTGATCCTTTTAAGCCGAGGTGGGGAATGTAAGGCTGCTGGCTAAGGGCTGATGGGAGCTCCAACCCAGCACAACTCACATGTTTTCCACCTCTGCTGTGGGAAAAGTGCAACCCCATCTAGAATCATCAACACAAGGAGGTCTTACTTTAGACTTACTGACTGGCTCCACACCACCTGTTTCCCTTGTAATGCCAATGGAAAGTCAATGTCAGAAGACAAGCAGTAGGTGAGGGCTTGCCTTAAGCCTTCCCCTGCCCACTTTTTTTCTCCTGCAAATGTCACCCATTTTAAACCATATTTTCCCACTTGAAGTTTACACAGGGTAGTCAAACAAGCTTCTTCTTCCTTTTAGGAACTGATCAACTTCAGACCTGCCTCAACAGGGTTGCTGCCTCATGCCATCAAACCATTACCAAAAACTCTGGATGCAAAGGGGTGTGAAAGAAAGAAATTGCTAGCACAAGCTTGCATAGATTTCAGCCTACTTCCTCAGATTTATGGAGTGAAATGTCCAGGAACAGACCTTTACAAGTATATGAGTAACAATAGAAATGCAAAACTAATGGGTATTGTGATGGGATGGCACTGTTCAGTTCTAATGATGGTCGTTGGAGGACAAAGGCAGGAGGAAGGATGTTGTCTAAAGCCAAGACAAGTAGATAATCTGGGTAATTTTAATCATTGTGCTTTTAGCTCATCAAGAATGGTTGATGCAATTTTTAAAATAATAAAAACTAATATTAATGATAAAACATCACAATTACTCATATTGGAATTTAAATTTCAGTTTGATACTGCACTGTACCGTTGATCACTGCCTAAGAGCAAATACTGTACATTTTGCAGTCTCTTTTTATAGTCATGACAGCAAGCCCATGTAAACAAATTTTCATCCTTCATGTTTTTATTTCTAACTCTGAAACTTAAAGGGAGATACAAGTACACTAAAGGTGTATTCCCCAAACCTGTGCTACACAAAGGAATGAAATCATCTTCTAAAGAACTGAGATAGACAAGACTGCTAAGCGTGTATGCTCTAAGTACAAAATGCCCATCAAGGTTTTTCTTTTTATCACTTTGTTAGCTGTCCTTTGCTGTCTTGAAAGGGAAATCTTCAAAATCACAGTTCCTCCTTCTCCAGGGAGCTGATTTGTTTCTCCCAGTTGATCCTGTTTATTTCAGCTGTATTCCACTTCCTGGTTCATGTGTACCAGCTTGATGAGATCACAGGGCTCGTGCACAGCTCATAAAGCACTTTCACAGTCATTCCTTAAAGAAACAGGAATGCTTCTTCTGAAGCCTTTGAATCTGGTTTGCTGTCAAAGCAATTCCCCCTGTCTTGTCATCACAGTGTTGTGGAGATGAAGAATCAAAACAACAAATATTTACAGGAGTGTCCTGCATGGAAGGATAAAAAGGAGAAGTGTTGGGGGAGGGAGACGAAAAAGAAATGTCAGTACCTTTAAGACCAACTGGTTTTTATTTTTGCATGAGCTTTCGTGGATATAAACCCACTTCTTCAGATGCAGTACAGAGTGATAATACATGCTCAGGTGTAAAGCATGTTTATACAGTTGTGGGAGTGGGATAGAATGCAATAGGATGCAGAAAGATACAAACCATGACCCTTGCCCGAAAGGTCCAAAGGGCTGTGTAAGGTGATCCAGGTCTTTCAGATCTTTGCAGTGGTCAGTTAGTGTTGATGCGTGAAAGCAATAAATCTGCTTACCTTCACACATCAACACTAGCTGACCGCTTGTAAAGATCTGAAAGAACTGTATCACCTTACGCAGCCCTTTGAAAATTTAGAGCAAGGGTCATGATTTGCCTTTTTCTGGATCCTATTACATTACAGTACATCCTACTTCAACAAATGTGTCAATATGCTTTACACTTGAGTATTTATTATAATTCTGTACTGCATTCAAAGAAGTGGGTTTTATATCTATGAAAGATCATGAAAAAATAAAAACCAGTTGATTATAAAGGTGCTGCCATGTTCCGTTTCTTTTCTTTCCCCTCCTCTTCTTTTTATGTTACCAGAGATTAACACAGCTACGTCTCTGAAAACTGCATGGAAGGAGGGATTTCCTTGTTTCTTTCAAAGGCTATCCTCTCTACCAACATGAACCATCTACAGTCCTAGGAATGCCTGTGACATTCTCAGTGCTGTCATGACACAAACAGACTACTACACCTGTAGGTAAAGACTAAACAAAGTGAAATGAACTTTGGGGATGAGTCTGTAATGTCATCAAAACAGCAGTGCTGATTACAAGCCAAGTTATTAGCAGTCGCTCACCCGGTTCTCCTAGCCAGCACAAACAGGGATTTTCCATTCAAATAGGATCTGACACAGCCACTGTGCAATGCATTTTCCCAAGGCTTTAAACTACTCAACAATTGAGGACAGTGTTGTTTAGTTGTGTTCAATCAGTTAAATCCTCTCTGCACCACCTCGTTTCAGTTATATTGGCACTATTGCAACTTTTTCTTGTGACTCCATGCCTTGTAGCCAAGTAAAGGAGTCTAAAATGTTCTTTAAAACTTCTCATGCTATCTGATATGGGGGGGCCATCAATTATTTTTTTGCCAATATGCCAGGACCAGCAGTATATTCATTACCGTTGGTTACAGCTGTTTCTTTCTTTCCTGGAAATGTGCCGGAGAGTGATACTGCTTGAAGCTACCGGACAACATTTTGAGACTACATGTTTCTCAAAAAAAGGCCCAGAACAAACAGATGCCATTAGCTTATTTATTCATTCAATCAATCATTTATTAAAATATTTGCACCCTGTTGTACACCAAAGCTCTCAGGATGGCTTACAAATAGTATTAAAACAAGTCAGATAGTTTAAAAACAGCAAAATAATATAAATAAGCAAAAAAAAATTAAAAACGCAATGAGTTAAAAGCAGGTTTAAAAGATTTCAATAGATTTTTAAACTGTATGACAATACTGTATTTGGGTTGAATTAATGAGGCCCAAGGACCTTGATGAACAGGTGAGTTTTACTTAGCATCTAAATGACATGAGTGTTGTCGCCAGTCAGGCCTCCAAAAGGAGAGCTTTCCACTGATGAGAAGGCCTTCTCCCAACACAGTGTACTGACTTCACTGGTGGGACACAGAGGTGCTCCCCTCCCACAGATCTTAATCCTTGGACAGACATATATGGGAAGAGGTGTTCCCAGCACCTTGAATTCTTTATATTCTGCCTAACCCCCTTTTTAAATGACATCACTCTCTTTAGAGAGCCAGCATGGCATGGTGGTTTTAGTACTGGACTGTGATTCTGGAGACCAGGGTTCAAACCCCCACTTAGGTCCCAAACACACTGCAGAAATAATCCCATTTGAAACTATTTTAACTGCCCTGGCTCAATGCTAGGGAATTCTGGGAACTGTAGTTTTATGAGACATTTAGCCTTCTCTATCAGAGCGCTCTGGTGCCACAATATACTTCAATTCCCAGAATTAACTAGCACTGAGCCAGGGCAGTTAAAGCAGTCGGATCTCAGCCATGGAAACCTTGGGCAAGTCACTCAAATTCAGAGGAAGGCAAAGGCAAATCCTCCCCTAAACAAATCTAATCAAGAAAACTCCATGATAAGTTTGCCTTAGGTAAAGGGAAAGGTATTCCGTTAATAAGGTTGTCAAGTCGTGTCTGACCATTGAGGGCAGTGCTCATCTCCATTACTACACCGAAGAGCCAGTGTTGTCAGAGACTATTCTGTGATCAT